TTCACTGACATGACTGTGTAATCTAAATTTATGAGTTTTTCAACTGCCACTCCATGGAGAATTCTACATTTATTGAATTTTGCTTCAGAAATATTCTGTGCATTAAACAATATTCGCAGGGCAGTAATGTACATTAATGGTTTGGAATTTAATTTATATAATATATATCAGGCATCTTACGTGTGAGAAGACATACAACCTACAGTGCAAAAAAAATATATCACTGGAAGAGGCAACAAAAGAAGTTTTTAAAGTTCTCAGTAAGGTAAATATTGTTCCTAATTATTTTGTTGCAACAAATACAAATCTTCTTGTTAATATAAGGGTTTTGTGATGCCTAGAACTTCTTGAGTTACCCATCACAGTTTAAGAAAAAAAGCACAGACTAAACCACATACAAATCTGAACATGGAGGATTATCAATACATAGTTCAGCTTGAAGGTTAAAGTTTCAATACCAAGTTTTGGAAAAAATTAGCAAAAAAAGAAATAATAAAATTCTTTACCATTCAACACTTTAACTAATACCTGGACACAAAGATAGCAAATGTTTTGCATATTCTTGGTTTTAATATCCTCTAGATTTCTAGATGTAAAATAACATGATACCATCAAAATGTTTCTGCAGAAAATACTGCAAATAAAATGTTTGTTTTCCAAAGGAAATTGGAAATACTACAGAAAAGCTAGAATAAAACTCAATTATGAAGATCTCACTTTAAAAGTGTGTAAATGTGCAGGTTAAGAAATATCTATATGATCAAAAAAACCTTTTTTTTTCAATTACTGACAGTACTGTAAAGTGGAGTATTCCTCCATTGTGATTCTAAATGTTTTGATATCTATTTGCTGGTGGGATGCCCTACTAGGTTTATTATTTTGCAAATATGCAATTTTGTTAAGCAACAGGATTGTTTCATTACTATGGCTCACTAAAGTATTTATCTAGAAGTGCCTATGGTGCAGTTTTACCCCCACATGCTTCCGTCTTTTTGACACAGAGATGTGTATACATAAACAAAATGAGTTTTCATGTATCACCTAGCCTTTGAATGTAGAAAACCACTTTGAAATGGGATTCGGGGGGCAAGGAAAGGGAGGATTTGGTGTAAGATTTGTTTAAACATGACACACTGAGGAATATATTTCCAACCAGCAATGAATGCTTCACACTTGTCAAATCCTCCTGTCAGCATTCCCTGCAGCTCTGCTGAGTACCAGAACACCTCTCTGCTCCAAGGTCACTGATTCAATGTCACATCACAGTGAACATGCTCATGCACAATTAGGGTTTCAGTATCATCTTGCAGGGAATTTTGATATCCCTATTATTTTACTTATAATTGATTACTAGGTAATTATACTTTGTGGATTGGTATGATCTTATACATCAGAACCTGGAATTAGTTTGTCCGATTAGCAAAGAAACATGTAAAGATGTGACTCAAAAAAGCATGTACAGATGACAGAAGTGTCTCTCAGATGCAATGGCTACAGTTCATTTATTTATATCAATTATATGGAAATAGCATTTCCATAGGTTTTTTCATGTTGATCTCCTACTAAGGCAATTTGTTTGTTTGTTTGGAGGTTTTTTTTGTTGTTTCAAGAGATATGTTTTGTAGTTAAAATATCTGGGGTTTGCCTTCTAAAATATTTCCAACTATTTGCTATTTAGGAAGCTACCTGTTTCATGCAGAGTTTTTTAAAAAATGCTTTATTTCCCAATATTTAATACACATGTAAATTAAGCAGCCATTACAAGTCCATAGACCTGCATTCAGGTGGAAATGATAACGGTAGGTAAGAACTACAACAGGAGTCTCTGTTTTGCCTTGACCTTGGCATTAAAAGGAGCATAATACATAAGTTTGTTCTGTTCTTCTAATTTTAGAATCCTATCTTCTGGTTGTTCTGAGATTGAAACCTTCTATTCCTATCTGTAATTATAATTTTCTATCCTAACTTTTGCAAAACATAGCAAGCAATTGTCAGGAGACACACATTCCTCAACAGCACTCAACCCACTTACCAGCCACCTCTTCCTACACTCATGTCTTCAAGAGAAGCATTTCCTTTCTACTATCTCATGTTAAACTTGTTTCCTCCTATCCACAAATGGAGTAACAGATCTTACAGGTCAGAAAAGGAAAGGGAAAGGATTCAACTCTTCAAATGATCAGAGGAACAGTGATGCTACTCCTGTCCCAAATGGAAAAATTCCATTTTTCACTGCAGAAATCAGCACAGAAGTTTTAAAGACCCAATTTTCATGGATCTTGTAAGTCTGCCTTCTCTGAAATTCTGTAAGCACTGCACAGTTCTGCATATGCTGAAAAATTACCAGGCTTTCTACCAGAAAATAAATGAACACATGCATCCTGGTCTCAATCAAAGCACAGGTAAAATGATACCTCAAACATAAAAATCTTCTAAACCTCCCCTAGGCAACCTCTAACTGTTTATAGAGCACTGGCTAGCAGTTCAACTCTAGGCTTTTTAACTACTGATAGTCAATACCAATCAGAGTTAAGGGTGCAGGTACTGCAAGTCACTCTAGAGGACCAATCATGGTGGGTATTGACTGCTGTGACTGTGAGATGATTTACCTCTGGAAAGTGGCACCTCAAGTCTTGCTGCCATGGCTGGCTGTCTTGAGAGTCCAGTACTGACCTAACAGGGAGACACAGGCACAGGCTCCAGAGAGTGGAGTTATTTCAGTAAAAAAAATAGAGGGATGTTTAATGTCAGCTCTTTCTCAAGTACCCTTATAAACCTCATTCCGTAGTCACCAGGCAATTTTGCTCTTAGTAAAGTATTGCAGCTTCTTGAAGTGTCCAACATAATTTTCTGAAATATAATTCAAAAGTTATCCTTCTTCCCAGAAAGTAAAGGGATGAGAAAAGAAAAGAAAATCAGTCTCAGGAATTATTTACTTTGATCATGTCTCACAGTTTCTTTCCCTCTCAGTTAGAATCTTATAATGTGAACAGCTAATCTTTCAGATATACAAGTTCATCTTCATATCTGATCCCTCTCTTCCTAAGCTCATCTTTTATCTGCTGATTTAAGAACCACAGTCAAGGACTTCATAGACTTTTTTTTAATGGGAGAAAAGTTGTGGTGATGGTTGTTTTTGCTCACGACTTCATCATTCATTCTTCTGTTGCAGTCAAAAGAAATACGTGACACTATATAATCATAAGCTACACCAATGACCAATTGACCCCATCTGCTACCAGACCTTAATAGACACTGCATCCTCCTTTACATTATTGACAATGACATCACACCCTATCCTTACCAGCTACACTAGAAATAGTGTACAATCTGTTGTTTTGTCACTCACAGACCAAGCAAATTAAAAAAAAAATATAAAATAAAATAAAATAAAATAAAATAAAATAAAATAAAATAAAATAAATAAAGAGGAAGGAAAACCTACCACATTTGCCCTACATGCAGGAGAATACTGTCACTAAAGAAACAGTGGAATTCACAGAAAACATCAAGCTTCCAGTCAGTCAACAATTTAGTTTTCTGGATTTCTTCCAGGTTCACCAGATTGCAACAGATTTCTTCCACAGTCACCACCACCACCTTAGCCAATCCAAACAAATCATGGTCTATCTTCAGTAAGAACAAGTCTAATACTCAGATTTCCTGCCAAAGCACAAATTGATTCCATTCTCACTCATAACTAGTTTATCTGCTTTACACTGATTGATCCACAGCATGCCAAGTTACAAACAAAATACTGTATGTAGCACCGCTTTATTATTCACACAAAATACACAGATAACATTCTTATCTCCTGGACTCCCTCAAATTACTATGAGAAGATTCCATAATCCCTACTTCTGCATCAAACAGCATCTCAAATATATCTATAGTGGTATCCTATTTTTAGACACTCTGCTCAACATAAAACAGAAAGCATACAAACTATTATACACAAATATCATAGACATCATTATAAAAGCAGGTGCTTCTTGAAACACCCAAGAAAGCTATAAAATACAGCAAGTCCTCAGACACCACTAACATTCATTGTAGAGCATACTCTCACAAGGCCCAGCTCAGCAATCTCAGACCCTTAACTAAATAAACACACCACTCTAGAGAAAGCCATCGTCTTTCCCTGAACCTTCGAAACCTCTCAGTTCTGACTCAGAGAGAAAATCAGAAAACCCAGATGATTCTGAGAGCTAAAGCATAAACTCCAAAGGATGCTAAACAACACATGAGTGAACATTAGGATTCTGATGCTTTGTAATTCTCACTCATCCCTAACGCAAAGCTTTGTATTCATCTCTATCTCCCTGCCTGAAAGGACTTACAGACTCTACTGTGTCTTCTCTGGATCATACCCTTTCTCATTCCTCCATCCCCACTCTGCAGATATACATTATTTTTTCTCTCAAATGATGTAGCTCAGTAAACAGTTTAAACTGGTAACAATTTACAATTGCACTTCAAGACCTCTCCTGCTATTTTCAGACATTAAGAGGCTCGTGTGGTCAAAAGGAGGCTTCTTTTTCAGTTATTGCAATTAGTCTGGGACATTACCATCTCCTTACCAAATCTATAAAGCTTTTACTCCTACAAAATCATAATTACAATGCTACGAGTGCATTAAGGTGTTTGTTGTTAGCTTAAAGACTTTTAAGTGCTCATGTTGAGGGAAATAAATAAAACAAAACCATGTAGGGTTTCAAGAAACATGATTACAATATTCTTTTGTCTACATCAGAAAAATTATTTCTATACTGCACATAAAATTAGGATAATTATCTACTAGTTTAATTTAAGGAAGAGCATGCATGCCTCTTACTGCAGTAACAAGAGCAATTACTTTTGTGGTAAGTTAAATATTAGATTTGGAATGTTTTCAAACTAAGCATAATAATGTTTTAGCAGCAGTTTACACTATAAAAAATTCAAGCAGTGTCCTTTTATGCATCTGCAAATTTAATTCTTTACATGCTAAAACTTTACAGGTACAGCAATACAGAAATGATTTTAACCAGCATTCAACTAGCACAGTAAGTATACTCAGAGTTACACAATTATTAAGTATAATTTACATATGCATGTAAATTACAATGTATAGAGGTATAAAAGCAACCTTTATAGTGATTCATTTGGAGGGAGAACTAGTTTTTCGAAATGTGGTACATTACTGGCTTCCATACTTGCTTTCATTAAGCCAGCAAGCCAAGTATGGTAACAAATTACTGAGATTAGCTTGTTAACAATGCTTGTTTTGCATACAGCTATTAAACTCACACTGGATTTATTTTATTATGCAAGCAAGTCATGTTTCTTATACTTTAACAATTTTATTTTGATTGTCTATAAGGACAGAACCAATTAAAAAACATGCTTACTAAATGTACTGATTTTAATCTAAGAGATCTCAACCACATAAGAAATTACAAACTATATAGGCAGTATTAGTTGAGTTGTATACTAACATGAGACAACTGGCCTAAACACCAACCACATAATTCAAAACGTTGTGTTTTTTCCTCAAAAAAACGAAAAAATCATTTCAGTGATATATCAACTGTGAAGTGTTCATGTGCTACACATTAAATGTAGTACTATGAAGTGCTACATAGATTTTATTTGAATATACAAAACCAACACAAAATCAAATAAGTGTAGCCTTGTCCATACAAAACTAAAAATAAAAATTATTTAAAGTGGAGAAATTGACAGGGTTTCTAATATTAGAATCCCTCCTCAGATAAGCTTAGTGCCTTCTCCAGACTATTATTATTATTTCAGATATCTCAGTCAGCAACTACTAGTCAGTATCATTTTCCAGTTTTACTTGCCATGTTTTGGGCATAACCATTATCTTCAGGCTGCTCTTTGGCATGTTGTTCAAAACCTTAATCTTGGAGAGTCATAGTAAATTAAAGTTTTAAGGGGAGGAGTCAAATCGATTTTTATGCTAATTTAATTTAAAACCCACACAAATTAAAAAAAAAACAAAACCAAAAACAAAAACAAAAAACCCAGCCAAAAACCCAACCTGAAGCTACTGTTTTCAAAGTCCTTGTTATGCCTTCCAGAATTCTTCACAGGGCATTAAGTCCATAATGTGGATTATTGCCTTTGGGTATTAAAACCAAACAATTAAAAAGTTCTATTTTATTTACCAAGGTAGAACTGACATTAACTTTGTTCCCTGAGTATTTTACAACATTTTGGTATAACATTTTAATATATCTTAAGTAGCTAGATTATCCTGATAAAGCTAACAGTCCAGAGACAGCCATCACAATCCAGTACTTCAATAATAATCTATGAAAAGAAACATACTGATTCAATGGAATATGACCCATTATGATCTGTTAAATTCAACAAAACAAAAACACACACAGAGAGAAATATAGTACAAATATAGTATAAATTCCGTTAAAGGAAAGATAATGTTGATACACAAATTTTCAAAGGAAAGGTACAAAGAAAAGGTAATTCACTCATTTGTTAAAATAACTGGAAAAAGTATAAGGGCAGGGGTTTCAAATAGTTTTGTATATCTTCAGAAAATCTAATTGTTCTCAACATGCGCTTATTTGCTGCTCAATTTCACTGTATATTCTACCCAAAACAGGATCCCATCCAGCACATGGACTGATCAGTCTCAAGCATTACTAAACATTAACTGCAAGTATCTTAAACACAGTGCACATGTATCAAAGAGGTCAGGGTTGGTAATTTGTTCTACAAGTTATTAAACTACAACTTATCTTATTCTCTGAAAATTAAAGATGCTTCATTAAAGAAATTTAGTATATGAATTTTTTGGAAGAGAAATGACTTTCAGATTATTTGGGTTACCTATCACAAATTTACAGAATTAAAATGTACAAAATTACCTTGCATAATTTCTAAGCATAATACCTGGATGAAGGCCTAAGTCCATCAAAATTATCATAGCAGAGGTATATATTACATATATTTGCTTCTGGAAGCATCACATCATCCTGCATTGCAGCAGAGACTCACAGCTGCAAAGGGCAGCATCCTTCACAGCTCTATCCTTCTCCAACAATTCCCTACTTGCTCCCTTCAAATGACATTTGATGTCTACCAGCATCATACCTCACACAGCCTTCACACAGCCCTTTTCTTCTCTGTAAATAAGTGGCAGCTGTTTTGCATATGTCAAACAGCTTCTTGGCAGAGAATACAATACTAGGATCTATCCAAGGCTGTAGCGACAAGGATTCTGAAATTACAAATTATTTCGTAGGATATAAAAATATTTATCTTAAATTCAGCTTTTAACCATTAGAGGTAAGCTGAATAATTAAATCCAGCAACGCTTAGGTCTTAGTCAAAATATATTTACTGAGTAAAAATATTAATTTGCTTTCTCAAGAAATGTTCTTCCAGCAGCACTATTTTAAAATTGGCATGAAAAGAAGCACTGATTTTCCTAAGGCATTCTAACCATATTTTATATATTACTCAAGAATACTGGTTAAACTACATATTTTTTTAAAAATTTCTATCCAGGACAATACGATTTGCAAGTGGCTTTTTTTTTAGGTGTCCTACAAATTAAAGAACAATTTCAATGATTTTGATTAATGTATGTATATATAATTTGATTAATTATGTATAGCATTACCATATCATAAGATAATAAGCAGTTTCAAACAAAGGTCAACAATGCTTTTCTAAGTATGTGGATTTAAAAAGCAATTTTTCTTAGTAAATACAATATTTAAACACAAAATCTATGCAGTTTTCAACAGGTATAAAAGTAAGATAATATATCAAACTTAACTGTATTTTCTCCATTATCTGACAATATATCAAGTGAAGAGAGTAGATATTTTCAATTACTCAACAATAACCCAAAGACATAAACTGTTGGAATTTCTCATTTCTCAGCCCATTCTTGTAGCTACTTCAACAAAAATGTATTTAAACCAAGCTACACTTAAAATAAAATACCTTATGTTAAAAATACTATATTTAAAATATTAAATATATTTTTAATCTTTCCCCCAATATATTACAATTATTATGAAAATATTCTTATTTCTAATAGAGAATGATAAAGTAAAAAAAGTTTAGAAGAAACTACAGGACATCTTTAAATTTTAGGAATCTTTAGATATTTTTGCATAATATTTAATATGATCACCTCTTTCAGGTAACTTCTTGTTAAAAGCAAGAGAAAGAAAATGAAAGAACTATTATTTGAACAGTTTTTCAGAGTGAACTTAGCTTTCGTGAACAAAGAGGACAAAAGTTTTTCCTTTGCTCTAATCAGTGGCACTAACCCTTTCCAGCACTAACCCTTTCCAGGTAGGGGTATCTCAACAGAGAGCATAACTTATGATATTTTACCTGTGACTTTCTGATTCTAAATGTAATTTAAAGAGAATATTCAGCAAACTAAAAAGGAAATTTATATTCAGGAATATAGTTCAACAAGCACTATCTACTGCACCAGCAATTTGGACAAGAGGAAGTGAGCATCTGTGGACACAGTTAACAACATCCTCGATGTATCTGGAAGTAATAAACCAAATCTAAAGCTTGCATGAATCAGTATTGCTCTATTCATTTCCCCCAGGGCAGGAGCCATGAGTGAAAGAAGAAAGCTGGTTTACTTCACTCCCTCTTCTCCCTCTTTACCTACCTTTCTTCCATTTTTGAAAGATGGACTTAAGAAAAAAAAAAAAATTAAAGACTGAATTTTAGGATCTTGAGAAGACACAGGTGCTATCTTGCTGTTTTAGACTAAATGCCCAAATTTCCAGGAGTTTACAGTTTATGCCAGTACTGACCAATTTAAACTCATGCCTACCAACTTTGTCAGAATTTCATATCCCAAACCTGGCCCTTCTTCACATACACTATGTATGAAAATGGCACAATTAATTTCACTTTGCAAATGGGAATATAAAGATTATAATTTAAATGCCTCAGTCGTCTGAATTCAAGTTATGTCTTGCAATGATCTGAATATAGACTTGAACATTCTGGAATATATTCTCTTTTTTTCATTTATATGCTCCTCTATCCTTTTTAAGAAAATGTATCTGAAATTTTCTGTTGAAATGGAGTTTAATCACAATGCACACTTATATGCCTTCCACTGCTGACCAGATTATTAACCTAATATTAATCAGAAAGGAATACCTTAGAGTTCTTCTGACATGTCAGAGTCCCAGATTCAGCTTCCTATCTCAAGTAGGAAAATTGCTGAAGCATTTACATGTCTCAAAACTAATTCAAAGCTCAAGGACTCAAGGACTATGCAAAGTCTTTTCAACCCCAGAGCCCATCCCTGAAATGCCAAGCAAACAAAAAGCCCAAATAATACTACAAGCATTATTGCATGTACCTATAACCTGCGACTTGAATTGAAACAGATAAATTAGAAGTAAGTACACAGCTCCTTGGATCAGGTAAGGGTTTGATTTTGGACAGAATTAATGTGTGTCTCTGGGGGTGGGTTCTAAATAATCCTGAATGGCCAGAACAAGATGTATAGCTCGGGAAGCGATGGGTGTAACTGTTTATCATTAAACAGAGTAGATACTGCTGCAACAAATTTCCACATAACTGTCTCATTTGCAACTTCGACATGCCTTTCAGCTTATTTTATTTCTATATCTATCCAAGATGAACTCTCCACAATGAAATAAAATGGTGTGCAAAAACATAGCCAGTGATTCTGCCTAACATATTCAGAGGTGTTCCAAGAGGTAGTGTAGGCTATACATCAACTAAACCGAAGAAGGAAGCTTAGAAATTACCCAAAATTATTATGTTACAAACATAGAAATGAAGATCATCATTAAAGGAAGCCAGAAGTTACAAAATTCCTTAATTCCCTTGGCAATAAGACACATTATCATTTTAGTAGCTGTTTTAATCAACAGAAACCTATATTTTTTCTAATAATTCGATGTGCATAATTTGCTTTATATCCTGCTTATGAAGCAGCACAAACCCAGTCAAAACTATAACCCAGGTGTCACTTTAAATAGAATTACAGAAAGGA